CCGTAGTTAAATAGCAAAAAAATGTACAGGTCTGAAGAGGGTTTAACGAAAGGACGCATACTCGCCAAACTGTCTGAAACGAGATGGTAGGTTTACAAATCGTAAGTTTCAGCTCCAGCTTTGATCTTCTTATGGATACTAATAGCTTAATCCCGCTGTATTATCTGAGGAGGTATCGTAAACAACAGGCTTCTGACTGAGGTGATTTTTCTGCCGAGACGCCCACAGAAGTGAAATCCTCGTGGAATTTTTGCCGGAAATCACGAACACTGGGAAGTTCTCGGCTTTTATTTTACAGAAGCTTTCACCTACAGTGGAGAGCGAATTTAACCTTTGAATTGAAGTTGGCATTAATCCTATCTCGACTGAATACCCATTAAAATAATCTAAATATTTTTACTACTGTCTAAAGCAAAGTAACCATTTCTGATGTCTGTAAACTTAAGCAATGTCCCCTTGAGACGACGAGTAAGGGAAACATGCCTTTACTTTCGAATGTCTTCTGCTTCAATTTTACAGATGGATGGCAGACGCATGGCTTAGGTCCAGCGCACACCGTGCGAACTTGAAACGCATCGCCTCTGCACATACCTTCGTCAAGTTTGCTGTTCTAAAAGCGGGATGGATTCCACTTGACACGAACATATGCTCGTCTGTGGTGGCCTTTTTTTCATGTCAATAAACCCGAGAGGCAGTTCCAAGATTTTGCTGGTCCTGAGATATTTTGCATATAAAGGGTCGAAAAGGACTTCCACGCATTTTAAAGTGGGATAAACTATGGGGTAACACTTTGGATTACAATCGGTGTCTGACATTGCGTTATCTTGGTGATGAACGACTGCGGCATACTACCATGAGCGACATTATCGGGGAACTGGCGGAGGGGGATATACCCTAAGTACTAAGAAGCCCTGAGGATTATTATGCAATTACAGATCACAAAGTCATGTTCGATACCGCAGTTTGGTTTAATGGACCACGTGACGTCATCATATTAACTCTACGTTGGTTTCGACTTCACTGTGCACGGTGAACGGACCAATGATCTCTGGTTACTCAGGTGTCGATGCGTTAGAAGAAGCCAAACCTAATTCGACCGCAAATTGGGAGCAAAAGATGCAGCAGCCATTACAAGCGTCGAGTCCCCGAGCGACGTGCCATTATGCAAAAAAGCGTATGCTAAAACTAGAAGAATGCAATCTTGCCAACTAAAACCTACCCAGCAAGGGCACCTCTTAGTGGTAAACATGTTAGAGCTGGAAGGGGTATTATACCTAATCGAGTGGCATTTCAGTAAAAAAAAATACGATGAGGAACTGACTAGTGCCCTTGCCAGATATCAAAGCGACTAAGTAAACAATAGCCGGCCTTAACCACCATTTATTAATCAAAAGTTGACAGCTATTTTCGGAAGACCCTTCTTAAAAAATGGTCAGATTTGTGCAACCAACACAAATTAATGGGAGAAAAACGCAATGCAAGTACTGATATTTTATAATCGTGATTTAGGCAAGTGTCTAATATCCCCTTAGCGGAAATTCTGCATGCCATACAGTGTTGAGGAAATTGAGAATCCGCCTATGGTTCACAGCACTGAAATATTATTGAATAACGTGCTTATTTTATAGCATGTTCCATTCGGAGGTTGGTCGCCAACTAAATATTTCCCATATGTAGTCGTTAGACCTGTTAAATCACAAAACTGTTCCGAACGATTCATTGGGCATGGATAGTGCAGTAGGTCGCCCAGGGAGTCGGCATGTCACTGTGAACAAGCACTCCAAACCGGCTTTGTGTTGTGGGCCAGGGTAACTTAAGTATCTGCGCATAATTATACTTTGGCTCATGCTCCCCGTTGCCGTTCACAGTAATATCAGATAAACAGGCTACAGGCGTTATTCATTCCCACATTATAGTAGGTAAACTGGAACAACTAATCCAAAACATGTTACTGACGCTGATTTGCGG